TCACCTGTCGCGTCTCCTCAAAAGGGCACTTTGAGAAATAATGTTTTCTTCTGCACAGTGAGTGTTGTGGGTTTTATTTCTTTGACAGCCATATTCTTGGTAATAAATCTCTCAGGATACCCGTTCTCGCGGAGAAAGCCCTCACAAGCAGTCGCATAATGACTTGAAATCTATACTAAACCAGAAATGACAAAGAGAAGGGAGATCGGAATGGTAATTTCTGACTTATTAGCCATCATCAGCCAGTCACGTCCAATCCGAAGATCACCTAAAATTTGAACCCGCGACCCTTTGCTCATGGGGCGTTACAGTCTACCATCGAGCTACGAGCCCGTACTTTATATCAGCTGAGATCGAGCATATGAGTATAGTAGGTCTGGTTGGGGAAAATGCACATCCCATCATCATATTCCCTAATACAACCGACAAAACCAACAGGCCCGTAGCTCAGTGAACGAGTATTAGCAACCACTCGGGTGATCTCGGGATTAGGTATAACTGATTTTTGACGGATAATAAGTCGAGAATGGTCCTTCCTGTCCCCTTGCATTTGTCGATGACTGCCTATGTGACAATGTATACATATTTACGTTTCGTTCTCATCATCCCCGAAAGAGGAAGAAGAAGAGGAAGCAAATGTTGGGACCAAATTGTATTTGTTCTGACGTTTGTAATGCATCCCGACCCGGTCAATAAGACCTAGGTTAATAGGAATTGAAGTTTCTGAGTAAAGAAAAGACCGCACTTAGTCTGGTTCCACTTTGATTTCTTAAATACTCCAGGCCTGACAATAGAAATGCTGTAATAGCTCAGTTAAAATATAAAGATGACATTAGCCGACTTTTCTCCGCTTGCGTTGCTATTCATAGAAATTCATTACTGCATTAAATCTTACCTGGTTCCTTTTCTACCTTCAGGTTAACGAAGAAGGAGCTGAGGCCGCGGCTGACACTGGATTTGGTGAGATGCAGCAGTGCGCATCTTTCGGTCCACCACCGGTGGAATTCAAAGTCACACATCCATCGCTGACCATGCGGGAACGCAATTATTCCTGGGTCACGTGAATGACCCGAAAAAGATGAACACTAGCGTCTATAATAGTCATGAGATCCTCAACAATTCTTATAATTTGTGCTGAACTGCATTCAGCCACTTTTTAAACAACTTTAACGTTATCCCTATCTCTTATTGACTTCATGCTGTGGCTTTTATCAAACTATCCGTCGTTTGCCGTTCTTCGGTGAGAAACAGAAAGAAATTACAACTGATTGTGATGTTGAAAGAAATTGCGACCCCTTCTTTGAAGACGTGATCTCTGAGAGGTATCTGTTTTTAGACTTTGTGATTGGTTACCCCTGTGTGCATTTATATAGACCCCTGTATGCATTATAATATTTTCGTCGGGCACCAAG